GTGCATAAACCAGCACCCATACGGGATCCCAGGGTGTGCAAGAAGATGACTTTAGTCAATAGGCTACTGTGCCTGGCCCTGCCACTTTACTTTTATTGCTGAATAATACAAGTATGACAGTAAGTTATCTCAATCACACCAACACTCAAAAGATGGCTATAGCACTTTTGGTCCAGTTCGAGACCACCTATGGCCGTTAGATTAATTGTATAGTGAGTATAGCAAATACATTTTTATTAAGTTTTTCAGATACTAAAATTAACTATAGTTGTACATATTTATGGGATATAGTTTGACATTTTAATACAGATAGACATTGCACTGATTAAGTCTCATGATATTTGTCATTTACCCCTCTTTGTCACTCCTTTACAATTAGGCTTTTTGCCTTTTTGATAATAGTGATTCTGACTGGGGTGGGCTGAGTAGTAATTGTCATTTACATTTGTATTTCCCTGTTGGCTAGTAGTGTTGAGCAGGGTTCTTTGGGTTTTTTGTTTGTTTGTAAATTTTTTGTTGCCTGCTTATATTTCTTATTTAGGGCTAGGTGTGTTTTTAATATTGATGTTTTTGAGTTCTTAATAAATTCTGGATATTAATTCTTTATCAAGTAAATAGATGATAAGTATTCTGCTGTGTAGGTTTTCTCTTCACTCTGTTGGTTGTTTCATGTGCTCTGAAGAAGCCTCTTGCTTTGATATAATCTTGTCTGTATTCGCTTTGTTTCCTGTGCTTTCTGGAGCTTATTCTAAATTTTTTTTTGCACCAATATCTTGAAATGAATGGGAACATGTTTCTAAATAAAGGATTTCTTTTTACATTATAAAATAAATAAGTTTACATTATGAAAAGAGGGAAAAAATTAAAATTCATATCTCATTATGTGAACAACCTATAGATTTACCTAGACTGTCACCTTGAACTTAATGCTTTCTGAAAACTGACAGGTCCAAATTACATCCAGCCTTCCAACCTTCACTCAAAGCTACATATAGCCTTTCTCTTTGTAAGAAGTTAAGTTACAGAATAATCAGAAATCAATTTCAAATGAAAGGTTAAGAAGCCTGGTATGGGTGGTAGGCATGCTGTATAAAGCAAGAATTTCAAAGATGCTACCAACATGGCTGCCAATGAGAGACAAAAGGAAACAGTAAGAAAACCCCAGGATGGCTCCTCAGTCAACCTAGAGCAATACAGATAACAAGCAGCAAGCTCATTTTACACATAGTACAGGGTCTTAATTCACTGAGAAAGTTTTTTTTATGAGTTGTCTCATATTGTGACGTTGGACCTGCTGGTTTGTGATTCCTGTCTTAAAAGTTAGCTTTTGGGCTGATGCTGAAGCTGCAGCATCCCATGTGAATACTGATTTGAATCCTAGCTGCTCTACTTCCAATCCAGCTCCATGCTAAGCACCTGGGAGACCTGCAGAGAATGGCTCAAGTACACTGGCTCCTAAAACCATATGGGAAACTCAGACAAAGCTCCTAGCTTTAGCTTGGTCCAGTCGAAGCCACTGTGGCCATTTGGGCAATAAAACAAATGGAAAAATCTCTCTCTCTCTCTCTGTTTCTCTCTGTGAATGCGTGTGTGTGTGTGTTTGTGTGTGTACGTGTGCACATTTGTCTCTCCCTCTTTCTATAACTTTGCCTTTCAAAAAAAGGTAAAAAGAGTCAGCTCATTGGTCTTTGCGTTCTAATGCCTTCATGTTTTGACAACGCCCCATGGTTTTTCTTTTAAAAAGTGCTGAGATCCTTGTCCCAGATGGGAAAATGAAGGATTGTGGTGTGCTTTTAACAATGCCGGGTATAACTAAGAGAAGCAACGATACACTACTTTATGTCTTTGTCTTAATTCCTCCCTAAAACACATGGTTGTAGGCTTTGGTTAATGTAAAAAGGGAACATTTGGGCACCTTTTCCGTCCTGCTGAAGTGTAGGGCTATTTTTATTTTTTGTTCTTCGCTCTGTTTCTGTGCTTGTGATTTTAAAGGTGCCAGACTGACTGCCCTTGAGGGTGGTGTCCCGGATTTATCCCAAGTATAGGAAAAATACGGGAGTTAGCAAAGCTGGTCATGTCTGGGTCCAGCATATTGGCCTGACCCACTCTGGAAGAATGTTCTCCAAGACATAAAGAAGATTGTGTCTTCGGACTACAGTCCATCTGCTTTCATAGCAGAGGAGACAAAACCTTGTTGTGCCATCCCAAGCCACTGCGGTGTTTTTGGACTCAGCAAACCACAGCCACTCATTCCTCTTCGGAAAATTAGAATGTTTTTCTCAGTTCTATCCCTACCTGTCAAAATTCCATCCTTTAAACTTGGGCACAAATACCTGTTTCTACAACAAACCTTTTCAGAGCCCTCTCAGAAGTGATTTTTTTCATTGTATATTTCTGCAGCATTCCTTCCAATTTTGTCATGTGATTTTGATGTATTTAGTCTTTGAATGACCATGAAAGTCACTGACATTGTCTAATTTTGATCTGCATGACACACAGAAGCAAACTGTAGTGTGGGCAAGGAGTGGATACTTGAGTATCTTTTAAATGATTGACATTTTCAAAGTTTCTCTCCTTGGGACTCAGCTGAGACTCTTCCCTCTGAAGCAGTGATTCAAGTTCAGTCCAGGATCCTCATTCATAGATAGCAAAAATCTCCATAAATCATGTAGGGGCAATACCCTGGATTCCAGATATTATTATACTGTAGGCATGCATGCTTGAATCAAAATAGCTACCAATGACTACTCAGTGGATCATGTGGCCGATAGTCAGCAACTCCCAACCAGAACCAGGCTTCTATTTTTTTTTTTCTTTTCCAAATGTACTATCCCTGACACTCTATTAAGTGTCATCTAGAAAGGAAAAGAAGAGTAAAGAAATCACTTTCTGGACCTGCAGTTGTCTATTTGAAAAGTAAAATTATAAATTTCACAGGAATTCAATATGTTCTCAATGATCAGGTTGATCAATTATCACTTGCTCCTTATCTTCAAAATGTTTTCTGCAGTGTAAAGCTGTCAAATATGGCATGCATCTCAGAGAACTTTATTATTGTTTGAAGCATAGCCCAGTCAGCATTTTAGTATACCAGTTGCTTGCGTGATGATAATCATAAAAGCCAGGGCTATATAAAACCTGGTTTTGTTAAGCAAGGAAGGTTCAAAATTTTAAAAGCAGCTTTATTTATGCATATTATAATAAAAGAGGTAAAGGTTAACTCTTGGGCAGAAATTTGTAACATCCAAAACAACGTTGATTACAAGTGCTATAGAAAATGTTCATTAAAATTCAAGAGGGTGATGTCAAGACTTCATAATAATATTAACTATTCCAGAGATGGTTTGTATTTCAGCTCTTGATATCTATTTCTTTGAGAAAAACTTACGCTGTATAATTTAGGGTTTTTTTTTTTTCAAAGACTCAGTCCAGTCTTGTGACTAGATATAAAACTTTATTTTCCAGGTCCCCAAATAACCAGAGAGAATTAGTAATTATGTATACCTCTTTTTTCCCCAAGTTGAAACACTTTAGTTTTCCCAGTTTATGTGTGAAATGGCTGTCAGTCCTTATGATGGAGTGCTGAAAGCTGTCTTCATTGAGAAATAGTTCCCACAATGTCAAATCGGCATCCATTCTTACACACAGAGCTAGCAACAGGCAGTACTGCACAGTTGCTAAAGGCAAGGATGCTGACACTAGACAGCTGGGGTTGAGGTAAAACAGCTTTATGACTCATTTTCCTCATTTTATGATGAGAATAACTGCAGAGTTAATACAGGTTGTTGTAAATATGAAATGAATAGAAATAAATGAGGATGTAGGTTTATGGAAAAGGAGAAATCAGAGATAACTTTATTTTTGTATATACACATTTTGAAATTCATGTGTATAGTCATTGCATAGAATATGTTTTCTATGAACTTTTTGAAATACCTCTTTTATTCTTGGGTTTCAAATTTTTTTGCACTAAATTATATGTAATTCTTAATTATTCAAGAACTTCTCTGAAGCAGCCTCCTTTAAATCCTCTTTAGACAATTGTGTTATGTGAAGTATTAGGTTTGGTTTACTATGATTTATCTGTCAAAGCTATCAGATAACTTTTAAAAAAATTATTTATACAATTTTCTTTCATATCTCCTACATACCTGGTGCACTACCAAGGCTGAATCAGGCAAAAACCAAGAACTGAGAAATTTGCCCATGTCTCCATTGTGGATACAGTTTTTCATGGGCACAACTGTTTGAACCATCACCTGTGGCTTCCCAGGGCACATGTTAACATGTACCTCCACTCAGAAATGGAAACAGAGCTCAAACACAAACAGTGTGATATGGGATGTAGGCACCCTAAGTGATATCCTAACCACTGGGCCAAATGCCCATCCCTAAAACCTATGGGTTGTTACTGCTATACCCAGTGACCTACAATTACTTGTTTGAATTTCTCAATATAATAAAATAAAATAAAAATAGAAAATAAAAAGCAGAGCTAAATACATATCTGACCCCTGGCTCAAGATTCCCAAAGTGAAGCCAGATAGAGCTGTAATGAACACAGTGACTCTGACTGATAATAATATCAGCCATGACTTCATGTGAATGTTTAGAGCTTGATGTCCACATGTGACCAAGATGTCCACTGAGCTCATTTAAGAAAATTGGAAGGACCAGTGTTGTGGCACATTAGGTTAAACCTGCACTTGCAACAGCAGCATCCCATGGGAGCAGCATTTAGATTCCTGCTGTTCTGTGCTACTACATTACTTTCTAGGGAATATTAGCCCATGAAAACAATCCTCTCAGCTGATTCATCACCAGCCTTCTACAGCCTAGCTTGGTTGAACTAGTGGACTTGCTAGTGCCAGTGATATAGTGAAAACAGTTCCCTTGCAACAACTGACACGATGAATCCATGCTATCCTTTGCATTCTGATGCATTAAAGGAAGATGTGCTCCTTGCTTTATTCTGAACTCAGTCCCCATTTTTCTTACAGGCCGCTGTGCTCGTTGTGGTGAAAATGTAGTTGGGGAAGGTACAGGATGTACCGCCATGGATCAGGTCTTCCATGTGGATTGTTTTACCTGCATCACCTGCAACAACAAGCTCCGGGGCCAGCCCTTCTATGCTGTGGAAAAGAAAGCTTACTGCGAGCCTTGCTACATCGTAAGTTCCTGGTTTGTTCTTCTTTTGCTTGTTTTGCAAAAATGTCTCATTTGACCAAATGCCACTCACTCCAGATAGAATGTAGCCCTTCTCTTTATTTCTTCTTCCACTTGAAATATGTGTGTTGGGGAGGAGGCATAAAGCTGCATATCATAACTTTCTCTTTGTATTCCCTTTTCCTATATAGTCAGAAAATTGAGCTGGACTGAAGGTTTGTGGCCTTTAACATTTGTGTGTATTCAAGCTAGTATATTCCTCCTGAAGCAGGAGCTTTCTCAAACACCTCAGTCACAACTCTTATTATCAGAGCTTATCATTTATTTGAAACCCAATTATTTTCAGAGAAATTTAGCAGGTTCTCTGAGCTTATCAGTGCTATTCCACTTTCTTTTTCTGTGTAAATAACTAACCTACCCAAAATGTTTCTTCTTGAACAGGTTTTCTGTTTTAGAAAGTCAAATCCTTTGTCCTAAAATACCACTAATGGAAATGATCACAATACTGATGGATTAGGGTGTTTTATGTAACACAACCATATATAATGACATAGCTATGCAATAAAAATTTCTTGGTCATATTATTTTAGCTTTTCATTAGGCAAGTTAACCTATTAGTGACAGAGTGATTTGATGACTGATTACTCCCTTTTTTTTTTCTTAAAAAAAAGGGGGTTTGAAAATAAGTTTCCTGTTGTCCTGAATGACAAGTTTTCAGAACTGAACACTTGTTAATGAAAAAAAGCACTTTTTTCCCAATCCCATGAGAGTCATAATTGGCTGTAAATACTGAGGCATTCCAATATTGAAGAGGTCTAGAGTATAAGGTGTTGGAAGTCATACAATATTGTCTAGGTTTTCAAGGCTCAAGTTTATTAAGGAAGTTTCTGACCTCCACAAAGTCTTCCCATGACCCCACAGCTCTAAGTCATTGTACTGCTAGAGCCTGTAGCACCCATCTGAAGGTTGTGCAAGATAAAGGCTGTATAGGATTGAATGTTGTATTGCACTTTTTGGGTTCAAGTTTATTTCATTTTCTTCCCCAAAACAACTGGAACTTACAGACCATTGTGGTAGAGCCATACAGTGTTATATTTGCAGGAAAAAAATCATTTGCCTAACTTTCCTTACAAATAAGAACATGCAAACCTGGACAAGAAGAAAAGGACTTTTTACATTTTATGACTATTTTCAGAATCAAGGCTTATTCATATGTCATGTGTGTTTTGTAGGGTGCTATATGATTTTTCTAGAATTAGAATTTATTAGAATATTTTGAATATCACTTTTATGAGCCTTGTTGAAAACAGAAATACACTGGATCATGTCCAGCCTTTTGAAATGGCTTCTGGGGACTATTGTTCTCAGTGACTTAGGACCACAAGAATCAAATCGCTGGTGGCTGCAAGCTCTGTGACAGTGACATCAGCTGGGCTTGTACAGGTCTTTAAGGTTGATTTTCCTTACAGTAAGTAACCACACTCTGCTGTGTTCTTTCATTATCTCTTGGGCTATTTTCCTCTGTTTTTTGAATACATTGTTGGTTCTTGCTACTTTAATAATGCTTCCGTGGCAGCTGCGGCTGCCTGCTTCTTTTGTCCCTTTGTCTCCTTTCTGAGCTCGAAGCCTATAGGCATATTTGGATGTAATAGAACAGCACAGGGAGAAGATGAGTTTGAACTCAGTCCTATAACATAATGGTTTGTCTCCTTGGGAAAGTGCCTTGATCTTTGGATGCCTCAGTGTCCTCCTACATATAATGGGAATGACTGCAGTGTTTTCCTTCCAAGGCTTTGTTAAGATGAAATGAGGCAGTCTTTGCAAAGCACACTTGTTCTACCCCGATGATAGCAGTAGAATCAATGTTATTCTGAGATTAATTTCAATAAGGTTTCTGAATCCTGTTCTGTTACATCCTGTCCACATTACATGTCCTGTTTCTGAATCTGGATGTGAGAAACAGGACATGTAATGCGAAATTCACTAGGCTTTAGGAAGGTATTTGCATCTCTTGGACAACCTCTTGCCCATTTTTCAGTGCTTTGCTTGCTTTCCTGAGTAAATGCCAGGACTGAAGAAAATTCAGTGTGACTGAAACATAGGCTTTACAGCATGTGGACTGTTTTGATATGTGTTCCAGGCCCAGGAGCTCTGTGGTTCTTCAATATTGCTAGCTCCTTCTGCTTTGGCTTGTGTTACTGTTGTACTATGCTTGTCCCCGTACTAAGAAGAGCTGAGTGAATTCTAATCACCCTTTTTGACTTCTCTTCTTCGTAGAAAATTTTAATCAAGATTTGTCTTTATTTACTGATATCTATCCATGATGACTCTAAAATGCAATTTAATTCATATCAGGATTCAGTTAAGCTTTGTTCAAAGACCCTTTTTCAATGATTCCAGAATTCAGCACAACTCTCGAGCTCTCAGTGAATGTGTTAGCTCTTTTATTTCTTCTGAATTGTCAGAAGTCTAATATATTACACAAAGAGGACGGGAAAGCCTGGGGTGAGCGTGGATGGAAGAAAACAAGTAGATTTTGAGATGAAGTTTGTGTTAAGGGAGCCTGAGAAATGGCATGTGTCTCTTAGAACCAAAGACCTTAGAACAGGAAGTACTATCTGTGTGATACAGCAAAATTGCGTTTTGTGACTCTGATGGAAACTAATGCATAAGAAACATCTGTCAAAGCAAAGGAAACCCAATACCTTGCCACAAGTCATTGTGTTTCTCTTTCCCCTTCTATTTTCATTTTATTTGAAAGGCAAAGAGTCAGAGATCATCTGTTCACTGGCTCATGCCCATGAAGGTTGGGTCAGACCAAAGCTGAGGGCATAGAACTCAGTGTAGATCATCCACACGTGTAGCAGGGACTCAGGTACTTGCAGCAGCAACTGTTTGCTTCCAAGGTACAGATCTGCAGTAAGCTGTGTTGGAAGTAGCTAGTGCTTGAACTAGGTGCTCCAGTGAATTTGTAGGCTTCCCAAGCAATGAGTGAGTGCAACAGTTCTGCCATTCTGTATGCCCTTATTGCATTTAATTGATGTACTCAGAATATTGAAATAGCTTCATTAATTAGTTTCTTATAAGGATTGACCACGTTTGACACTGAGCATCCAGGGCACTGTGTAAGGATTCCCCACTTTTAACACTGTGAGATCGGCCAAATAGAAATTAAATTAATCACTGTTTCTGCCAAAATTATTCATCAATCAACTTAAGATCATGTTTAAGCTAAATATTTACATAGTTTTGAGGGAAAATATGCCAGCAATGTCTTCAACTGTGGTCTAGCAATTATGGACATGTTCATTTGGTTTATTGAATTCTTAATCCTTATGCATAGTTTTAATTAAAAAAAAGTAAAATTGGTGTGGCATGCTAGTTCTCATATATCATTTCCAAACTTTTAGTTCTGCACAATTACATGCCTGTAGATAACTTACTGACATTTTTATTTGGAAAGAATCCTTTATTGTAAGTTTCTTGATGTTTATTGCAAAGTCACGTGAAACATACCTTGTAGGACATTTGTTTTACCTTATTAGATTTATTTAAAAAGATTTTCCCAATTTGTAGAACCATGAACCATTACGAAATTCTGTGTTACACTGCAAACTATCCTTTATTGAAGAACTCTCTTTAAGTTCATTATGAAATAATTTAATAAATCGATGATATAGTTGTTTTAAGTTTGTGTAGTTATCACCAAAGTCAATGAGCTCTTGTCCTACCTTGGCAATATATCCCTTGAAAGCTTGGTTTACACTGTTAGGATAGGATTGAAAAAACTGAGAAGATTGAGAGTGATGTGATATGTGGAGTAGGTCATTTGTAATCATTATTAAAGGGAAATATCGATTTCTTTCCTCTCTTCAAAAGAGAAGGAATGAATAAGTGGTATTTTTATTTACTAGCACCACTGCTTTCTTCTGATTAATAACATTATCAGTGCTTTTCCCCCAACTTGGCATGACATGGTACAATATAAAAGCCCTGCAGGTTTGGGGAAGTTTCCTGACTATAGGTAGTATGCAAGGACTGAAATGGATAGTTAATGCAGAAGGAATATGAGGATGTAAATAAACATGGGTTCATATTGCTTCCAACAATGTGCCACTGAAGAGCAGCAGGAATGCCTCCTGCTCATCTGGTCTTCTTCCTTTGACGAAACAAGCTTCCTCATCAATGTAAATTCAGCAAAAAGTGGCTGTTTTCTTTTTAGCATGATCAAGTCTGGACCTTGAAGCATAGAGCATCAGAAATTCTCAGCATAAGTTTGTTTATGAAATGGCAGCCAAGGAACCTTCCTAAACCAGGGCTCTTACTCAGAAGGAACAGAGTCCAAATCTTGACTTTCTAACAGTGGAAGTTAGTACAGACATTTTTATTAGAATTGAAATCCAAGTGATTAAGGGACCTGTGGAAATGGGAGGCCAACTCCACAGGAGACTAAACACTTTAAGGTTCCTGAACTTGTGCATTAGTGCCCCACACGCTAGCCTTTTGCTCCCTATGTCACTCAATGACTACAGTTAAAGCATTCTAACTTTTCCACCTACATTAAAAGGTAGGGTTTTGTACCCCTGCGGGAAAGCTGCCTTTTTATACACTCAGTTCCTCCTAATAAAATGTTTTAAGAGCAGTTATAACCAGTGCCTTGTTTGGGTATTGGAAAAGAAACTTAGAGTTTGGACTGAACTTGAAAAATCCACATAAACTTTAGTGCTTCTGTTTTTTGATTGCTTACCTCCGTGCTCACATCTGTACGTAGTGCTCATCTGTTGCCATTGCCTGCGTGTCTGCCTCTGACTCTTTCTTTCTTATACATAGAATTTATTCCTGGTGTTATATCATCTCACCAAAACTCTCCCAAGAAAGACTTAAAGAAAAAGTTGAAGATACAGAATAATTTGCCAAGCATGCCCTTGAGGAGTAAACCCTTGCCAGCTACTAGGAACAGCTGTTGGAGCTCCCTCTTCCATTCATTCAGCATTTTATACTTTA